TAACTTGGCTTCTCACAGAGAGGGAACCGCCAGAAGACCCTCGGCACTGGACCTCAGTGTCCGGGCAGAACGATGGGGGTGGAGACGCTCCTTCAGGTATACTGGGCTGAGGCCGTTTAGGGCTTTAAAGGTCAGCACCAACACTTTGAACTGTGCTCGGAAACGTACTGGGAGCCAATGTAGGTCTTTCAAGACCGGTGTTATGTGGTCTCAGCGGCCACTCCCAGTTACCAGTCTAGCTGCCGCATTCTGGATTAATTGCAGTTTCCAGGTCACCTTCAAAGGTAGCCCCATGTAGAGTGCATTGCAGTAGTCCAAGTGAGAGATAACTAGAGCATGCACCACTCTGGCAGTCGGCGGGCAGGTAGGGTCTCAGCCTGCATACCAGATGGAGCTGGTAGAGAGCTGCCCTGGACACAGCATTGACCTGTGCCTCCATGCACAGCTGTGAGTCCAAAATGACTCCCAGGCTGGGCACCTGGTCCTTCAGGGGCACAGTTGCCTCATTCAGGACCAGGGAGTCCCCCACACCCACCCGCCCCCTTTCCCCCCAAAACTGTCTTGTCAGGATTCAACCTCAATCCATTAGCTGCCCTCCATCCTCCAACCGCCTCCAACACCACTCCTGTAGTGATGTTGAGAAGGTGAGAGGGAATTGCCAGAGCTCTCCTTAGAACATAATCCTCTCTCTCAGCTGTCCTCTGGGGGCAGCCATTCCATCAGCCTGCCTCAGCTGGACAGAGGGGGAGCAGAGCTTGTGAAATTGGCTGAGCTGGAGGTCCAGATCCGCCAGGCATGTCCTGGCTCTGAACTGTGCCAGCTGGTGCCGGAGTTTTGAGATTGTTTTTCTTCTTCTCTCCATGTCGCCTTTCCCTTGTGTTGTGTGTTTTAGACGGTAAACCTGTGGGTAGGGAGTGACTTGTTTTGATTTTATGTAAGCTATTGCGGGAGCCTTTTTGGCTAAAATCATAGAACCATAGAGTTGGAAGCATAGCTGTCAACTTTTCCCTTTTCTTGCAAGGAATCCTATACGGAATAAGGGGATTTCCCTTTAAAAAAGGGAAACGTTGACAGCTATGGTTGGAAGGGATCCCAAGGGTCATCTACGCCAACCCCCTGCAATGCAGGAATCTCAGATAAAGCATCCATGACAGGTGGCCATCCAACTGTAGTCAAATGCTGTAAACAAACAAACAAACAAACAAACAAACAGATGAATTATTTATTTTGGTCATTTCCTCACTCCTTCTCTATTCAAACAATATCAAAAGCAGCTTATAAGGTACTAAAACAAATGAACAATTGTTTGATCATGGTTTGCGGCTGTAGCTGACAGTCTGTGCTTGAGTCTCCCAATCTGATTCAGGACTCATTCCGATGCTTTGAAGTAGCTGTGATGTGGCCCAGGAGAAGCTGGAGCTATCCTGTCCTGAATCACAGTCCCAAACTGATTTAGGGGTCTCAAGCAGTGTTTAATTAGGATTTTAAACCCTAATTAAACATGTGGTTGTGGGGTGGAGAGAGAATCGTATCGCCTCCTGTCCCCCCATTCTTGGCCACATGCTTAAGGGGAGGAGATTAAATTCAGTGTTTGAAATTTGCTTGGCACATTATGCCTCTGGCTATCGGCCACTTGGAACCAAGTGAAGATGCCAGGATGGTGCCTGACTTCTCCACCATCTGGAGATGTTGCCTGGGGATCCTTGGATCTTGACTGTTTTCACACACGAGCAACACATTCTGTAGAATTCTACCTGTTATATTTTATCTGCACAATCAGAATGAATTTCAGGAACCAAAAAGTTATATTGAAAAATATGACTTTTGAGCCATCTGGCCCAAGAATGGCAACCAGGCATTCTGTTTTGATTACGCTAACCCTGGTTTGAGGAGCCATTTGGCACCTAGCTTATATATCAGAGTTTCTAACACTGGTTAAATTACATTGTGTTTTCTACAGTACAAGAATGTTCTTGATTTTTAATTGGAAGAGGATTCCAGTGTTTTGCTTTCTTTAGTTCTTGCTAAGGCATTTTCTATAAAAGTATTTAAGACCTTTGTCTTTAGGAGCCCAGGAATATATTAACTGTACCTTATATTATAAATATTCTTCACATGGGGTTGAACTAATAGCAGCAGCCCCAAGTGCTTGGCATTATGTAGAGCAACCCTGTATTTATTTGTTTGTTAATTTTGCCACTGTCACCAGCAGTCCCAAATGAGAGCATAAAAAGCACAGTGTAATATCAACACATTTTGTTTTAAATCAGGTTTATTTCCAGATGGCTCAGCTTCTCACTCTAAACGTTTTGTTGGATATTTTGATGTGACACCACCGGTAATAAAGAATCGTCTTTAACATTGTCATTTTTCATTAATCCTGCTGTTAAGCAACTACAGCCAGAATTCATTACAATGGCTATGGATATTTTTGAGTCATCAAATTGGGACTTCTCTCCCCCCTCCTTTTTTTTTTGCTGCACTGCAAAATTAGCATTTACACAACAGCCAGCCAAAGTTAAGTACTTTGACACCACATTAGTTTCAATGGGAAGAATTAAGCATGTGCTCCAATAATCACAGTGAATGCAAAGGGCCCCAAAAGTGCTTAAATCTGGTGGGATGCACATCCCTTTACAGAAAGGGAGAATCAGAAATATGTGGGGACATGGACATAGCCAAGGGGGGGGGCAGGGGGCAGCTTCCCCCCTAGATCAAGTAAAGCAATAGAAATACTCAGTGCTTTTTTTTTCTAAAAAAATGTTTGGGGTACTTTCATTTTCCTAGTCATATTGAAATACTGCTCCTCAATGAGACCAAACTTGGATTCACAAAATGTTTAGGGGTATACATACCCCCAGAAAAAAAGCACTGGAAATACTCAACTAACTGACAAATCATGTTGGTTCTGTCCCCCCCCCAACATAAATCCTGGCTAAACCAGGGACTTAGGGGACCCCCATTCAAACTCACTGTGGGAGCAACCCTAGGCACAAGTAGCTGCCGTAAAGCAAGCAGCATTGGTTCAGCTGATGTAAAATTGCAAACCCTGTTCAGAAGCAAACTATTTCATGATCACCTCTGCTACTTTTGTGGACTGCAGTATCTTTATCCAGAATTACAAAATCAAACCATTTGCATCTCAAAGCCGACCTAGAAAATGAGGACCAAAACAGACATGAGCTTAAATGTGTGTCAGCCTTTTATGTCATATAGTGCAACTGCCCTGTTTTGAGCCAAGCATTCCAGATTGACAGAAGCCACCTCAGCTTCTGATGCCAACCGGTGAACTCCCGTTTGGGCTCTGCCACCACGGCCTCGGCCGTAAGGGTGTGTGGCATGGTGGGGGCAGCCGGGGTGGCGCGTAATGGCAGGATGGCAGGATGGCAGGGAGTGGCGGTGTGGGGAGGCAGTGACCGTGAGATGGTACGGGGAGGTCGTGTCCGGATTTGCCCTCCAGGATGTTGTGTGCAGGATTTGAAAAATACAAGTTCCATCAGATGTAAAAAGGTAAAGGTAAAGGACCCCTGACAGTTAAGTCCAGTCACGACCAACTCTGGGGTTGCGGCGCTCATCTCGCTTTATTGGCCGAGGGAGCCGGCGTACAGCTTCCGAGTCATGTGGCCAGCATGACTAAGCTGCTTCTGGCGAACCAGAGCAGCGCACGGAAACGCCGTTTACCTTCCCACCGGAGCGGTACCTATTTATCTACTTGCACTGAGGTGCTTTCGAACTGCTAGCCTGGCAGGAGCAGGGACCGAGCAACGGGAGCTCACCCCGTCGTGGGGATTCAAACCGCCGACCTTCTGATCAGCAAGCCCTAGGCTCATTGGTTTAGACCGCAGTGCCACCCATGTCCCCCATCAGATGTAGGGACTGATAATTAATGGGATGAGAACAGGAATGTAAGTGGAAGTTAACCTTATCCTTTTCTTGTAGTCCTAAAGAAAACCCCTTTTCTGAAACAAGGGTTTGCATAGGAAGGAAATCATGTGTTGGTATGAATGGGGAATTTCCAAAACAAAGAGCAGCTTCAAATAAAGCAGGGGGTGTTTCCCCTGCACCACAGAAAAGGAGGAAAGGGTTACATTTGCTCTTCATACTGGCTCTAATCCTCTTAATTATTAGCACCCCAGCTGATGCAATTTGCATATTTAAAAGCCTGTATGTTTCATGCAAAGATTCATCATGTCTAATTTGGGCCTTGTATCTCCCACTGAAATTTCTCAGAATAAGTAAATACAGTCCTGGTATTATTTGAGTTTTGTCTTCCATTTTTCCTCTCTCCTTGGGATATCACCATAACTGGATTTGAACTGGCAGTAATCAATTTACTGTACTTTAGATACTGTGAATCAACATTATATAATGTGGTTTTATAGGATTTAGCCCTGGAAAAGAATGTGTAAAATATGTTTCTTAGCAACACATGCGCATTCAAGCTTGCAAATCCATATGACTAAAATAGACCAGAAACATATAACAAATAATGGCAGGCTTTCATTAACCTCAGCAGGCTTTCTTTGAATGCTGAAAACAGTACAATTGGGGCATTTAAGTGGTCAGTTTCACACAAGTAATTGCTTAGACAAGTTTTTAAATGTAGATATTAATGGATATTCATTGGAATTATTTCTTGTAAAAAAGGTATTCAATATTGGCCACAGCATCTAAGCAAATAATATATGTACACTACTTGATTCTGATGACTGTGAAGCAGTGAAGAAAACTGTTAGTTCATATCACTTCCATTTTTCCAAAACTCGTGTCACTTTGCATGCACAGTTCTATATAGCAGAAAAGTTGGTGTTAAACTTAAAAAGCCTGTCCCAAGACATTTTGGTGTCTTAAATGGAACGCCAAATGGCACTCCCCTATTCTGCTAGGGCCAACCTTAAAAATGGCTTGTTGAATCATTCAGACACCGATTTCTGCTTTCACCAGTGTTTATATGGGGGGAACCGTGTCTTTTCCATACAATTCTTTTGATGTTTGAGGTGGCATAGCTCAGTCAGTAAAGCATGAGACTCTTAATGTCAGGGTCGTGGGTTTGAGCCCCATGTTGGGCAAAAGAGTCCTGCCTTGAAGTGGGTTGGACTAGATGACCCTCGTGGTCCCTTCCAGCTCCACAATTCTATGAATTCTCTCTTGAGAGTACAGTGGTGCCTCGCAAGACGAAATTAATCCATTCCGCGAGTGTCTTCGTCTAGCGGTTTTTTCGTCTTGCGAAGCAACCCTATTAGCGGCTTAACGGATTAGCGCTATTAGCGGTTTAGCGGCTATTAAAGGCTTATCGGCTTATCGGATTAGCTGCTAAAAGGCTATTAAAGGCTTAGCGGCTTAGATAAAGGGGGGGGAAGCGGAAAAAAAATCTCAAGACTCGCAAGACATTTTCGTCTTGCGAAGCAAGCCCATAGGGAAATTCGTCCTGCGAAGCAACTCAAAAACAGAAAACCCTTTCGTCTAGCGGGTTTTCCGTCTTGCGAGGCATTCGTCTTGCGGGGCACCACTGTAATGGAATGTCATTGAGTGCTTTCACTCTCAGGGAGACTTGATCTACTTTGTCCAAAGAGCATGGCAGCAAGGATCTCTGGTTGGTAGCAACTTGTGATTTTGTTAGCTGCTTTTTTCATATTATTGCATGCCAATCTCTGAGCAGTGCTAGATTCCAGGGGTTCCAGGTGCCCAGGGTGGAAATAAGGCACAGCATAAAGACTGGTGTCTTTATGATATATAGTTTATGTACACATATATGAGGGACTTGGGTGGTGTTGTGGTCTAAACCACAGAGCCTAGGGCTTGCTGATCAGAAGGTCGGCGGTTCGAATCCCCACAACGGGGTGAGCTCCCGTTGCTTGGTACCTGCTCCTGCCAACGTAGCAGTTCAAAAGCACCTCAAAGTGCAAGTAGATAAATAGGTACCACTCTGGTGGAAAGGTAAATGGTGTTTCCGTGCGCTGCTCTGGTTCGCCAGAAGTGGCTTGGTCATGCTGGCCACATGACCCGGATGCTGTACGCCGGCTCCCTCGGCCAGTAAAGAGAGATGAGCACTGCAACCCCAGAGTCATCCGTGACTGGACCTAACGGTCAGGGGTCCCTTTACTCAGGGGTTTACTTTACACATATGTAATATTGCAGGTATTAATACTGTGCAGTTTGAAGTGACCAGATCCATAAAAGTGAGTCCCTTTGGAATAAAAACATTGTCAAGGCCCATAATTTCTTCTTCAGTCTACCCTTAGGACCTCTTTTCCTATCTTGAGCTGCAGCTTCTTCCTTGCACCAGGTTGGGTACTTCTTTCCTTTTGGGTGAAGACAGAGACACCTTCCCTTTGTTCTCTCAATGGCTCATCACATTTCCATTATTTTCTTAATGGCTCATCTCCCAGGCAATCTCCTGAACACGGGAAGCTGGGTACAGGGATTAGGAGTTTGGCGTCCCGTTTAACACACACAGGCCTTGATTGGATTCTAACACTCACGGGACCCAGGAATTTAGGGGAGTCTGGCACCCACAAACTCATAAGAATATTTTCATTAGAGATGGGGGTTGAGGCACCAGAATTATTTTAGACATATTTATTCAGAAGTAAGTAATACCATGTTCAGTGGAATTTGTCACTAAGTCAGGGTGCGCAGGATTGCAAACAAGAAGAAGGAGAGTTTGGATTTGATATCCCGCTTTATCACTACCCGAAGGAGTCTCAAAGCGGCTAACAATCTCCTTTCCCTTCCTCCCCCACAACAAACACTCTGTGAGATGAGTGGGGCTGAGAGACTTCAAAGAAGTGTGACTAGCCCAAGGTCACCCAGCAGCTGCATGTGGAGGAGTGGAGACATGAACCCGGTTCACCAGATTACGAGTCCACCGCTCTTAACCACTACACCACACTTTTGAACAAGGGTTCAAAATGGCAAAATGGTCACCAGCTTTAGAAATATATCTCCAACAGTACCAAATTCCTAATTAAGCAAAGCAATCGTGGCTGCCACCATTGTGCTTCTATAAACTCATTTTATTAACTATCTAATTCTGATTCTTCAGTAGAACAAAGTAACACAAACATTTAAAAGAAGGCCTCTTGCCCATCAAGATTAGTTTCAGATGACAGCCTCTACTGCACAAAGAATGTGGATGAAGTAATCTATGCTATGTGAAATGGGAGGAAGAAACATATCTTGTCAATTTCTTTCTTTTCTCAGGTTTGCTTTTTGCAAAGCAAAACATTCTGCAGTTTTCATCAAGCAGGATATCATGGTAGACAGGACAGATTATGTGAACAAGGACATCTGTGTTTGGCAAACCTAGAATTCGTAGTGCCCTAACATTCTTCGACTGGATATTTATGCAGCCAGACATTCTCCATCCAGTCCACTTCCTCTGTCTCACTCAGCAGCACTTTTCACCTGTTCAGTGAAATGTGGGAGCGGGGAAGTAAGACCTCATCTGCTGCCTCTCCTCCAAATCTCCATGAATCCATCCATAGGTTGGAATGTAGCATTGGCACATGCAGCTGTACTCATTGTTAGGGCTGAGCCATGGGCAGAAGTCTGAGGTGAGCAAGGAGCAGGAATCAGAAGCCATGGGGCAAGCCAGTTTTTAGGACCCAAAGAGGCAGGAGCAATGAGCAAGGCAGAAGGTGGAAGAAATCAAGGACTCATTAACATGCCACAGCTCAGGAACACAATGGTGCTCAAGCAGGACTCAGTTTTGATGCCCAGAAAGTTCTATGGATCAACTGGATGGGCAGAGTCAGAAAGCTGCTACATGCAGTTCAGTCACTGACCACACAGAGCTAACATACACAGATCCCTGAAACACACAGGTTCTGTACACCCATTTAGGTTTCTGCAGGCTTCACAGTTGTGCAAAGACTATACATACAACATATACATGCAAAAGTTCTATTCAGACCTTTCTATTAATATGTGGAGCAGGGACAGTGGATAAGAAGATCCAAATTCCTCCCAATATAGATCTTCTGACTGAATTGGTTCATGAATCATAAATGCACCTCGAAATTAGAGACTGTTTTAGGCCTCATTATTGAACCTGAAGCACGTGAAACGCAACACATGAAGGAATATGAATGCTTGTCGAGGACAGTTTCCAAATGTCAGACTTGCTGCTTGTAGCATTTGCTTATGTGTCCTCTAAAAAGTTGTGGTTGAGGAAATTCTGTTTCCAATTCATTCTTTTTAAAAAAAGAAAGAAAAAAAGATTGCATGCTATATATGTAGGAAGATTTCAGGGGTATTATAAACTCATTCCTAAAAGTCAAAAAGTATAACTTGTGACAAACAGAAGCTAGATTGACTCTGTGGGTAGGTGGAAAATGATTCTGCGAGATGGATTTGTCACAGGTCTACACGGAGATGGAAGTTAAGGAAGCTTCCAGCTCACAATCAATACATTAATCTGTCTATTCTAGTAAAACAGGTTAGAGGTAAGTGTGCATTGGTGCTTCTAACAATTTGTGTCACAATTTATCAAAACAAAACAAAACAAAAGTTACAGAATGGAAACCATATCCTGTTTTGAGTTTCCATAGACTTTTATGGATTATTTTCTGCTGGAAGATTCAATAGACAGAAACAAGCGGTACCTGTGCCATGGAATTTCAATAATGGCATAAAGGTTGAAGGTTGACAAATTCACAGTAAACTGACCCAACCATAACTTGATTGTCAAGTTTCCTCTTACTTTCCCCAGTTCAAAACTTAGGTCAACCTGTGGCTAAAGATGGCTTGATCCCAAGTTCTCCACCTCTGCATCCCTGGTCAGAAAATTTAACTGGAAGCTGGAGCTAGATAGGCCACAAACGGAAGGTTGGAAATTGCCTGGTATTTATATCATGACTGTCCAATACTGAGCCCTCCTTTTTCCCTTCCTGCCAATCACACAGACTTAGGCTAGACACATTCCTATTCCCTTCTGTGACTAAAAGGGTGCTCTGACACATGAGTGAATTCAGATTGTGGCAGCTCATTAAGGTAGCATCCAACTCTGTTTGATTTTTTTATGGATTTTATCACCACCATACATTAGCCACTTAAATTCTCACATTCACCTTTCATTTCCCTTGATTCAGAATTCAGTTTTCCTGCAGTATGATTACTACACTTTTTAGCACCAGCAGTGTTGAAGACTGTACAAAACATAGGAATATACGGCCTACGTCAAAAGGGTTTATAAACAGAAAGCAGAACAATTGAAGAAGGCATCTTGGTTTGAATGCAAACCAGAGATAAGATAGGGCAACATGAGCAATCAAGCACCTATAAAATTTCCAAGAGATCCAGTGTGGTGTAGTGCTTAAGAGCGGTAGACTCGTAATCTGGGGAACTGGGTTCGCGTCTCCGCTCCTCCACATGCAGCTGCTGGGTGACCTTGGGCCAGTCACACTTCTCTGAAGTCTCTCAGGCCCACTCACCTCACAGAGTGTTTGTTGTGGGAGAGGAAGGGAAAGGAGATTGTTAGCCGCTTTGAGACTCCTTCGGGTAGTGATAAAGCGGGATATCAAATACAAACTCCTCCTCCTCTTCTTCTTCTTCCAAGGAAAAAAGGAAAAAAGAAAACGATTACTGTATTTTGGTTTTAAATGGAAGCTGTTTTGTCTTTCATCTGTTTTCATTACAGATTGACAGAGATCTCTGAAGGAGACTTTCTAAATTCAGATGGAAGGATATCAGGGTGTGTAGCACAGGGGAGTGTATGACTTTGAGATTTGTGGGGGAAGTTTTTTAAACAATGCATGAAATTCCACTTGACAGGGCAGTGGCCCAGCAGGCTTAGTGGCGCAGCAGGACAGGGAAGCCCCCCTGTTTTGAGACCCTAGAGAGGCAATTATCAGAGACAACACTGGAGTATGGGAATCAGTGCTTTAATTCAAGCTGCCTCATCCTTTCCTAAAGAGGCAGATTAATGTTAGGATTCCAAGACATACAATTAAAACACCACCCTGGGAAGTATATTCGAGTAGTAACTATGGTGCAAAAGGTGGTTTCTTCTTCTTCTTCTTCTTTTGCTCACAATAAAGCATTAAATGAAATGAAAGGCGGTGAAAGAGAAAGGCAGTATATTCTTACAAACCAGAGCTATGTAAGATTTGCCTTGTTAAATATTTCTTAAGCAATTTTTAATTGACAACATATGTTCAACATCACATAGCAACGTGTGCAAAGCACTTTACATCTGTCATAGCCTCCTGAAGCTAATCCCTCTTTAATGTGCTCGCTTCCTTTGTATTGCTGCAGGCTTTGTTTCTGTTTACTGTCTTTTGAAAGGAAGAGGGGGAATCAAGTTAGCTGTCAGCAAGAACAAGCTTATTCTACAAAGATTTTAATTCTATTAATCTTTTGACTGGCTATCTTTTTGGAAATCATTTCCAAGGGCAAACGATGCACATGGAAGGAACAAGCCAAATCTGACTTTTTTCAAGGTGAAATTGTGCACTTGTATAATTGGGGCTTTCCTAAAGAAAAACTAAAATATGGAAAGAAAGGAAATTCTGGGGGGTGGTAGGGGACTCGATTTGATTATAACCAATGTGTTTATATCTATCTATCTATCTATCTATCTATCTATCTATTTATCTATCTGTAAAAGTTAGTTCCTAGCATTTAATCACCATCAAGTAAAACCAAGAAACAGAATCAAAGATTTTTTTTGGGGGGGGTCTCCACAAGCCTGCTCTCCCTCAGTCCCTTGAGATCATGATTAGCTTTTGGTAATGGGGAACACATCCAGGTTTGTAAAAGCCAGCCTTGCCTCCCCTGCCCCCATGGTAAAATCCTCAAGCATGGATGCACATTTGGCGGATGGGTAAAAGGACAACCACAAGGAGGTGAATTATGAAAGTTGGTGGGACAAGGGTCAAGGTCCAGCCAGCTTCTCTGATTAGGTTGCTCCTATTCATAGCTGTCAACTTTTCCCTTTTCTTGCAAGGAATCCTATTCGGAATAAGGGATTTTCCCTTAAAAAAAGGGAAAAGTTGACAGCTATGTTCCTATTTATCGCGGGTGGTGCTGTGGGTTAAACCACTGAGCCTAGGGCTTGCTGATCAGAAGGTCAGTGGTTTGAATCCCTGCAACGAGGTGAGCTCCTGTTGCTCAGTCCCTGCTTCTGCCAACCTAACAGTTCAAAAGCACGTCAAAGTGCAAGTAGATAAATAGGTACCACTCCGGCGGGGAGGTAAACGGTGTTTCCGTGTGCTGCTCTGGTTTGCCAGAAGCGGTTTAGTCATGCTGGCCACATGACCTGGAAGCTGTCTTGAGGACAAACGCCGGCTCCCTCGGCCTATAGAGCGAGATGAGCGCGCAGCCCCAGAGTCCGCGACTGGACCTAACGGTCAGGGGTCTCTTTACCCTTTACCTATTTCTCAAACATGACTTATTATTAAATAAAACCGAAATATGAATATGGAGATGAAGAGGAAATTTGACTCTCAGTGGCTGGGTGTCACCAGCCCACATCTCAGTGGTGTCATTGAGTGTACCCTTCTTCTTTCCCTCAAGTTAGTGGATATTTACACTTCTGGGGGGGAGGATAAAGTGGTTCACCTGAGGGCAAAACCTTTATTGCAGGTCCTGTCGCCTGTTTACAGACATTATTGAAATGCTACTGTGGGATGTTTGCCATAAATAAGTCTGTCATCCATCTGTCGTAGTAACTAGCACATTGCTAGTAAAGTATAGAATACTAGCAGCCTTGTATCTGGAATTGCTTGAGAATTTTAAGGAACCAAAAAATCAATGCAGTTTTGCAATCAGTAGTTTAAATCAGCGCAGTTTTGAAAGGTCAGTCCATCATCTTGTTACAAAATGGCATCCAACTGCATCTGAAAATAGATACAATCCTGATCTGAGGAACCACCATGCAAAATTTGGTTAAAATCCATGCAGTTTTGAAAGGTCAGTCCACCATCTTTTAAAAAATGGCCTCCAATAGTATCTAAACATAGACAAAAACCCACTCCTCACTCTTGGGAATGGTCATGACAAATTGGATGACAATATATTTAGAGGTGTCCAGATTAGTGCATTTTGGAACTGTCATGCTAAATCTGGCGACAATATCTTCAGAGATGACAAAATAGCTTCAGTCTTTCTGGACTGCAATACAGATCATCAGTCCTTGCAGGATCATGCATTGCAGAACTGAATAAAATGCAGGGGCAGGCAAGGGCAAGAGGAAGATCCTGATGTGCATGCGCTCAAAGGCACAACATTGTGAGTCACCAGCATCAAAGCATTTCCAAGAACCGTGTGCTCCTGTTGTTGTGACAGACAGATCTGAGAATTAAATTAGAACACATGGCTTCCAAACAAGGCATGGTGTCATGCTCAGAAAAATCTTGGCAAACTTCTGCTACAGGAAAGTAAAGAGACTTCCTTGCCTTCCATCAACTCTGTGACACATCGAGCCAATGGGAAGGCATTCTGTGAAGGATGGGATTGTAGTCATGCAAACACAGAAGCGGCACTACCCTGACCTTGTCTTGATCTATCAGCTTCAAGTTTTGAGTGAAGACTCGCAGTAGCGTGCAGCATTATGAGGCATTAGTGCCAATGATTGACTCGGAAAACATTAGCAAAGGGGTAGAAAAAGTCCTTGCACACTGATTCGCAATACATCTTTGCTTTCTTGTAAAATTAACTCTGCATCTTAGTGTCAGATATATGACTTGTCTGCTATGACTGAGACACTTCCTTTTGTTTAATCATGTGTCATTGCAAATAGACTGTTCATGCATGCAAGGATAGAGAGGCTATTAGGGATATTTTTTAGGTTCCAGATGAGTATGGTGGAGAAGAAGGTCATTCTCTTCGCTTATCATATGTAGGGTTCACAAAATTATGGGATGGGGAAACCCTGGCTGCATGGTTTGCTAGAGAGTTTTGCTTATGCATCTAACCACCACTGACAAGGTTGTGTAGTTGTTTATCTATTTGACACCTGATGAGAGGGTGTTCCACAGGATGGGCACCACTACTGAGAAGGCCCTCTGCCTGGTTCACTGTAACCTCACTTCTCACAGTAGGGGAACTGCCAGAAGGCCCTCGGAGCTGGACCTCAGTGTCCGGGCTGAATGATGGGGGTGGAGACACTCCTTCAGGTATACAGGGACAAAGCCATTTTGGACTTTAAAGGTCAGCGCCAACACTTTGAATTGTGCTTGGAAATCTATTGGGAGCCAACGTAAATCTTTTAGGAGTGGTGTTATATGGTTCCAGTGGCTGCTCCCTGTCACCAGTCTGGCAGCTGCATTCTGGATTAGATGTAGTTTCCTTCAAAGGTAGCCCCACATTGCAGTAGTCCAAGCGGGAGATAACCAGAGCATGCACTACTCTGGCGAGACAGAGCATGGGCAGGTAGGGTCGCAGCCTGCATACCAGGTGGAGCTGGTCGACAGCCGCCCTGGACACAGAACTGACCTGCGCCTCCATGGACAGCTGCGAGTCCAAAATGACTCCTAGGCTGTGCACCTGGCCTTTTAGAAGCACAGTTACCCCATTCAGGACCAGGGAGTCCCCCACACCCGCCCGCCCCCTGTCCCCCAGAAACACAGCCATCCTTTGAAATGTGCACTTCTCTGAATTTTGTGTTGCAGTTCTCCAGCCAAACAATTTTTTAAAGGGTGTATTAAGGAAAATGGGCCTAAAGTGACCCACATTGGTGAAAATAGCACAAAAGTGTATTATATTAGGGGAAATTGCTTCACAAAACATACACATGTGTGTGTTAGGCAAAATTACAGACAAAAATGTGTGTTAGATATTTACACTGAAATGCCAGTGAATTTTCATAATAAACTGATGTGGAATTGTGAAGAACTGAGCATGAGATTGGAAAAATGAGAATCTGACAGACTACTGTCAGATCCACATACTGTTTTCAGCTCAAAATCTATGACCATAGCTAGTCCTGCAATGATACAAGGGGCCACCTAATTCACTATTGGATAGTTGTGAATTTGAAAATCCCAGAGTGCTGAAGTTAAAGACGCAAATAAAATCCTGGGACATTTTTCTTTCCCCCACAAAGCTGGTAATAGGTTCACAATTAATCATTTCTGTCTTTAAAGATGTGGCTTTCCAGCAAATAAAGTTTTATGTCTTTCAACACCCAGAGTAACAGGAAGACACTTAGAAAATTGTGGGAAGGCATCCAATCATCAAAGCACCTCATATATAATCAGATAAGAATGTGATGGATTTAAAAGTCACTGAAACATTAAAAGAGCAAGTACATGTTAACAGTTGTATGTAAAGCTAAAATGAATAGGAACTTATTTCCCTTTCATAAATAACATTAACACCAGCTTTTTTGTTCAGTTTCCTTGAAAATGTACAGTCCTACCCCTTAGTTCATCCTTATTCTTGATCTACTCTACTGTAATGGAATTTTTACACAGAATTTCCCATTCTTTCAAAGATCAGCCACAAGGGAAATATTTTTACTTTTCACCTCTAGGGCACATGTTAGAAAACTAGCATGGGAAAACCATTTGGCGGGGAAATAATTGTTTTTATCTTTATATGACAACCTTATTTTAAGGCCCAATTGATTTATGGTTGTTATTAGAAAATCATTTGTCAACTTAAGAAGAAAAAAATGCACATGTGTGAAACAATGGGGGTTAAGCAGGTCCCTTTCGAGACGCATCAATCCATTTGCTAAAGAGCAAAAGCTTGTTCTATTCTCGTTCAAGGCCCCTTCATACAATTATATCATATTGCAACCAGAAGCAGGTGGTGAAATCATTTTACCCCATAGCCTCAAGAAAGGAATCCAAAAAGGTCACATTTGAAAAGGTCACTAAACCACTGAATATATTAGTGCTTAAGGAAGGTGCTAATGGGTTTCAACATTGAAAGTTCCAACAATAATGATAAGAAGGAAGAAACAATGCAGCTCAAAAATTGCACTCCTTTCCCCAATATTTCTACATTTTAAGCATTTGTTGCTGCTTTGGTACTGCTTTGGTACATCAGATTGTATGAAACATTGCATTTTTGGTATTGTTTTCACTTTGTTTTTAAATTGTTGTACTTTTTTATTAGCTGGCCTAAGCTGTTACAACAGGAACTGTGGGGTATCAGAAAATAAACAACAAAAACCTTTTGGCCTTGTTAACTCATTTTAACGCTTCCAGAAGAACCCCAAAATCAAAGGATCTGTGGCTAAAGCAACATCTGCTGCCCATTTAATAGACTCCAGTGGAAAGTTGTCAAGTTGAAATTCATATGCAGATTTGACATTGTTGGGCTGGGACTGGAATGACTAGACCACAACTGAAAGTATCTGACCCTCTTTGTGTGTTTTTGCACACTGTTCAACTTACTTGGCCAACTTCTTGTTAGGTTATTACACCCACTAGGACTGGGTAGAATAATAGAATAATAGAACTGTAGAATTGGAAGGGACCACGTCTAACTCCCTGCAATGCAGGAATCTTTGGTCCAACATGGGGTTCAAACCCACGACCCTGCTCTACTCTCATGCTCTACTGACTGAGCTATAATGAATGTTGACTGGCTGTTGCTTGCATTTGTGCTCTACATATCAGTGGGGCATGCTTATTTCTTGCACTGTTGGGCCTTCTAGCCTACAGTAAGACAGCACTTTGTGCAGCAACAACATCCTTTCCCAAGCCATACGTGTCAAATGTTGTTTGGGATTTGCACTTAAGTCTCCATCCAACACCTAATCTGAGGTTCAGATTTTCTTTTGAAGGGGGATTTGCACTGCTGCCCACCTTCAACTGATGGACAGAGCAATTCACAAGCAATTCAGACTAAAATATGGAGGCCAACCTAGAGCATTTTCACACCTGAGGCTTAACTTGTGTGTTCCTACATCCTACAGATGCTTCCTACAGGCATCCTACAGGGAGGCAGTGTGGTGTAGTGGTTAAGAGCGGTGGACTCGTAATCTGGTGAACCGGGTTCGCTTCCCCGCTCCTCCACATGCAGCTGCTGGGTGACCTTGGGCCAGTCACACTTCTCTGAAGTCTCTCAGCCTCACTCACCTCACAGAGTGTTTGTTGTGGGGGAGGAAGGGAAAGGAGAATGTTAGCCGCTTTGAGACTGCGTCGGGTAATGATAAAGCGGGATATCAAATTCAAACTCTTCTTCTTCAACATCATCTGGTTGGCCACTGTGGTAACAGGATGCTAGACTGATGCAGCAATTGGTACAGTGGTACCTTGGTTCTCAAACTTAATCCATTCTGGAAGTCCGTTTCAAAACCAAAGCGTTCCAAAACCAAGGTGAGCTTTCACATAGAAAGTAATGCAAAATGGATTAATCTGTTCAAGACTTTTAAAAACAACCCCTAAAACAGCAATTTAACATGAATTTTACTATCTAAGGAGACCATTGATCCATAAAATGAAAGCAATAAACAATGTACTGTAGTCACACAAATCGATCGATCAGTAGCTGACAGTAGCCCACAGTCACAAAAACAAAACGAAAAAGAGCCACAAAAACAAAAATGCAAAATAAATAGCGAAAACAGACAGACCTCAGCGTAACACTCAAATCAGAAGTGTAACACTCAAAACGAAGCACGTTCAGCTTCTGAAAAAGGTTCGCAAACCGAAACACTTACTTCCGGGTTTGCAGTGTTTGGGTTCCAAGGTGTTTGTGAACCAAGGTACCACTGTATTCTTATGCTATGTTAACCTTTTGAGTTCTCCTCATGTCATTTGTCCGGTTATTGTTCATGAGA